CCCAAACAGGGTATGGGGCACGATGTCTATAGTGATGCGAGCATCCAAGGGGTTGGATGTGTGTTGATGCAGATGGGAGGGGTAATTGCCTATGCTTCACGACAGTTGAAGAGGCATGAGGTAAACTACCCTACTCATGATTTAGAGCTGGGAGCAGTGGTGTTTGCATTGAAGATATGGGGACACTATCTCTACGGGGAGACGTGTCACATACACACTGATAATAAGAGCTTGAAGTGTGTATTTACTCATAAAGAGTTAAACATGAGACAGAGACGGTGGATGGAGTTGATAAAGGACTACCATCTAGTTATTGAGTACCATCCAGGTAAGGAAAACGTTGTAGCAAATACCCTCAGTCAGAAGAGTTCGTCTGGGGCATTGCTGACTAGTTTGAGGGCATTGAGAGCCCAATTGGATGTATATCCGCCTGTAGAGGAACGTGAGGATGTGAACTACGTTGTGCAACCGATTAAGGTCATTGATAGAAAGGTGAAGAAACTGCGGAGTAAAGAAGTCCCAATGGTTAAAGTCCTTTGGAAGAGCGATCGTGTCGAAGAAGGGACATGGGAAATAGAGGCTTTGATGAGGGAGTAGTATGCTTCCCTATTTGAGTAGAGTTGCGAATTTCGGGGACGAAATTCCTGTTAAGGGGGGGTGAACTTGTGACACCGCACCCGAACGTCCTTGAAAAACTCAATATAAAAAAAAAAAAATTAATTTCTATGTATTGAATTTTCAATTTCCAAACAATTGTAAAACAATAAATGTTTTACGTAGCGCATGATTGATTTTTGTATTGTTCAAACTCGTATGTTAGTGTCGGGTTTGCAAATACTTATTTGGGCCTTATTAATGAACATAAGAGCCCAACATTATCTAAATAATGTTACATAATCTTTCAAAACAATTTGAGGAAGGTCGGGCGGCCCAAACATTATTTTGGGCCCAACCTGCTAAAAATAGCAAGTATTCAAGAATGGCATCGTAGGCCCACTCGGGGGTGACCCACACGGCTAGTAGTCCAATATATGAATGACAATGTCAAAATAAGTGATAGTATGATTAGAGAAGAATACAAATGCCTATGGTCCCATCTTCGACATTTTTGAGCTAAATAATGGGAGTATGATTTTCCTTCTATAATATTCAACATGTAAGTTATTGGGATGATCCTACACATGTTGGGAATCAATAATATGATTTATGAAGTTGACTTGGCCTACATAAATTATAAGGAGTACAAAAAGACATCTCATGACAAGGATAAAACAATAGGGTCCATCTTTTCATTTTGGAAGTATTGGTAGGTATTTTGGACCCCAAATTGAATGGGATCATTTGGGAACCATCCCACATGACCTTGGTACCTGCAAGACAAAGAAAAATGGGTGAGACAACTATGTGGGGCGGACATTTGACTTGAGAGCTGCAACATTACAAAAAGGAAATAAAAGAGGAGGTCCACACCATGTTTAATTGCAATCAAACACCCTACCCTTTCTTTTTGTGAACCACATGCTTAGATATCATTTTGAGAGCTCCTAAACACCTCCCCCTCACCCCCCATTCGAACTGAAAGGGATAAGAAAGAAGGGAGAGCCTCACACTCAAAAGAGAAAGAGATAAGGGAGCTGGCCGCAGGGTTAATCTCCAGTTCGTGGAGCTCACTGTTTGATTCGTATCTTGAGAAATACTCATCCAAAAGGGGCGTGTGAGGTGTCCACTGAAAGCTCTCAAGAAGAGGAATCCATAGACATGCGGTTTGAAGGAAACGGAGCAGTTTAAGGCCTCCAAATCGTCCGAACAAAACGCAACCTTGCAGAATACGTTTTTGTATTCAAAGTAAGTTTGAATCCAAAACCTTCCTCTCTATTGTCTAAATCGTATGAATGATTTAAGAGCTATTATAAACTGGTTGAATGGTATAAGATGCTATTATATAGTGACTTTAATTGTTGGAAATGTTAGATACTAACCTAGACAAAACCTTGAAAGGTTAGGGGGCGAATTTGTCGGAAAACACCCGTTCTAGGGACTGTTTTCGTGTCTTCGGTTAGGAGTTGAGCAAGCACCTCGAGGAGGCTGTTTAACACTCATTTTTAAGCAAGGAATCAGTTCTCAAACTTCCTTGGCCGAGGCTTTGGTCATTGGATCAAGAAGGAATAGTTTAAAGCTCATTTGAGGTGAGGATCGACATCTAATTGCTTACAACTTGTAGGTTAAGCATGAGATTACCTAAATGCCTAAATCATAATTTTTCATGGATTATGATGATTAAATATTGATGAAATATTGATATGGTTCCCAAAGAATGAAATTGGAAATGATTTGAGGATGTATGTATAATATGAGATTAAATGAGTTATAAATGAACTATTTTGTGAAATAGGAATTTTACTCATGTATTAAACATGTGGATACATAAATGGATATTATGTATTGAAGTGGAATATTTAAGTTGATGCTACATACTTATAAATATGTAGAGAATTACAAAATGAAGATATTTGTATAATGGCAATAATCTTAATAGTATTGAAAATACTAGTTAGTGATTATTTGAAATTGTTGATAGAATTGATCCTAAGTATTGGATTGTATGGAATGAACTTGAATGTACTTCAAGTGTATAAAATGACTTAGTATGAAACTAAGGGCATGTTATGGGCGGTCATTGAGAATGACCCGAGGTAGATTATTGAGATGTCAATTCTAGGCATAGGGTTGCTTAGGAATTGGACTATAATGAAGAATTAGAGCCGGACTTTGTGATTTGCATGGAAATGTAGTTGGTCCGAGACCTTGCCATGTAAATTGTGATTTGCATAGAAATGTAGTTGGTCCGAGACCTTGCTATGCAAATGTGATAGGATGTAATTGTGATTTGCATGGAAATGTAGTTGGTCCGAGACCTTGCCATGTAAATTGTGATTTGCATAGAAATGTAGTTGGTCTGAGACCTTGCTATGCAAATGTGATAGAATGTAAATTGTGATTTGCATAGAAATGTAGTTGGTCTGAGACCTTGCTATGCAAATGTGATAGAATGTAAATTGTGATTTGCATAGAAATGTAGTTGGTCCGAGACCTTGCTATGCAAATGTGATAGGACGCAAATGTAATATAACGAACTTGACATAAAGGATTGCATAGAAATGTAGTTGGGCCGAGCCCTTGCTATGCAATGGTAATGTAATGAACTCTATGAATGGTCGTGGCTCATAGTCACGGGGAATGGAAATGGCGATTTCTAAATGAACATGGGCCCACGGGCCGACTACTTGACTTTTATATAAAGTAAGTATATTTTCAAACGAGGTAACTTGGGGTTACCACTATATTGTATTATCACCCTATTTGAGGGTCTTGTGTTTGAAATACTTGTTGTATATCTATTAGATGCCTGCCACACCAGCACTTTATAGCCGTATAGAGTGCTGACCCCTTCGGGGGCGTCCCACCACCATTTTTCAGGTTGAGGCTAGAGCTTGCTTCCTGTGCTCGTTGCTCGAGAGATCATCTAGGGGCGAAGACTTGGTTCGTGCTTCCTCCATTCGGATTTTAAACATTAATAAACATGCTCATGGATATTTTATTATAGAGCCTGCGTGCTCATGAATAGCCCTGTGTGGCCCTTTTGTTTTAAACAATGTTTTCCGCTGCGTTATGAATTACTTATTATGTTTGTTTATGGATGACTCGTGTGTGAATGATATTCATGACGCCTTGTATAATATGAATGTGTTGGACTGCGGTTGACTATTCGTATTGTACGGCGGGTTGTCGACGTGTCCGGGGAGGTCCGGGGCGTGACAAGTAACGTGAAGTTGATTTAAATTCTCTCTTCTGATCTGAGTCAAACTTTTTAAATTTAACTGTTAATTACTCAAAATTTATAAAATGTAAAATGAGATACCAAACCGGATCTTTGTATTATAATGTGTTTTTAATATAAAGAATCGACTTTTTATATTAAAATTGAGCCAAAGTACAAGATAATATCCATAATTATGACAAAACTGATTGTGAGTTCTAGGAGTAGATATCGAATCAGTCATCTCATACAAATCAACTTGATTCGCTAAACCCAAAATGATCATTTTAAATCATAAACAGTCGGGATTAAATTAAACACCGCTATCAACATTGTGACACCGCACCCGAACGTCCTTGAAATTTCAATTTAAAAATTCAAAGTTTATGTATTGAATTTCTGATTCCCAAACAATTGTAAAACGATTGTTGTTTTACGTAATTAATGATCGATTATTATACTGTTCAAACTCGTATATTAGTGTCGGGCTTGCGAATACTCGTTTGGGCCTTATTAATAAATAAAAGAGCCTAACATTATCTAAATAGTGATACATAACCTTTCAAGACAAGTTGAGGAGGGTTGGGCGGCCCAAACATTATTTTGGGCTCAACCTGCTAAAAATAGTAAGTATTCAAGGATGGCGTCCTAGGCTCACTCGACGGTGACCCACACGGATAGTAGTCCAATAATATGAATGACAATGTCAAAATAAGTGATAGAATGACTAGAGAAGAATACAAATGCCTATGGTCCCATCTTTGACATTATTGAGTTGAATAATGAGAGTAGGATTTTTCCTTCTATAATATTCATCATGTAAATTATTGAGATGAGCCTACACATATTGGAGATCAATAATGTGATGTAGGAAGTTGACTTGTTCTAAATAAATTAGGATGAGTACAAAAGACATCTTTTAGCAAAAGATAAAACAATAGGACCCATTTTCCCATTTTTGGAAGTATTGGTAGATATTTTGGACCCCAAGTTGAATGGGATCAATTGGGAACCATTCCACATGGACTTGGCACCTGCAAAACAAAGGAAAAGAGGTGAGATGACTATATGGGGCGGAATCTTGGCTCACATGCACAAAAAACTCCAAGAAAAACAAAAGGGGGAGGTCCACCCTATATTTGATTGCAAACCAAATATCTCCCATGCTCTTTTGTGAGCCACATGCTCTCTTAGCATGTTTAGGTCTCCTATACACTCCCCCTACACCCCATTCGAACCCCAAAGATATAAGAGAGCAAAACGCATCCACACAACCCAAGAGAGAAGGAAGGAAGAGAGCAGTCCGCAGGTTCGTTCTTCAGTGCGTAGTGCTGATTGTTTGAGCGATAACTTGAGATTGACTCGTCCAATTAAGGCGTATAAGATACCAAAAGAAATCTCTCAAGACGAGGAATCCGTGATGGTCTGGTTTGCATCAATCAGAGTAGTGGAAGACTTCCAAATCGTCCGAGCAAAACACAACCTCGCAGGAACGGATTTACTCTCCTAAAGTGAGTATTCACCCCAAACCTTTACTTTTCATTTTCCAAATGATATGAACGATTGGTGGAACTATTATACACTACTCCAAGTGTATAATATGTCTTCATAAGGTTATTTTATTTATGTAAAGGTTAGATACTAACCTAGAGCAAATATTGGAAAACTAGGAAACGAGTTAACCGGAAAACACCAATTCTAGGGGCCGTTTTCGTATCAATGATTAGGGGTTGAACTAGCACTTTGAAGAGGCTGTTTAACACTCAATTCCAAGCAAGGAATCAGTTCTCAAACCTTCTTGGCTGAGGCTTTGTTCATTGGAGTGAGAAGGAAGGTTTTAAAGCTCATTTGAGGTGAGGATTGACATTTAGTTGCTTACAACTTGTAGGTTAAGCATGAGATTACCTAAATGCCTAAATCATGTTTTCCATGGATTATGATGATAAATTATTGATGGAATATTGATCTATTTTCCAAAGAATGAAATGGGAGATGATTTGGTAAAGTATTGATAAAAATGGAGTTAAATGAACTATTGTGTGAAATAGGCATTTTACTCATGTGTGAATTGTGTAGATACATAAATGATTATTTATGTATTACATTGGAAGATTAAGTTGCTGCTACATATCTCTAAATATGTAGGGTTTTACAAATGGAATATATGATGGATAAGATTAATTTTAATAGTATTGAAATACTAGTTAATGATTGTTGTAATTGATAAGGAATTGAATCTAAGGGTTTGATTGTAATTGATGTACTTGATTGTGATGTAAGTGACTAAATTGATGTAATGTGATGCTAAGATCATGGTTGGGCAGTCCTTAAGGATGTCCCAAAATAGATTATCGATATTACAAATTCTAGGCATAGCGAGTGCTTAGGAATTGGGGTCTATGCCAATGTAAGGAGATGTACTTGAGCCCGTGCTCATAGAATTGCATTGGGTAGACATGATGTGGTGATTGATGTGCATGGTGATGTAGTTGAGTTGGACTCAAGAAATGCACGGTGGAGTAATTAACTTGTGTTAAATAAGGTGCATGGTGATGTAGTCGAGTTGGACTCGAGAAATGCAACCATATGTGTTAGGGTTGAACCCTATGTTTTGTTGTGACTAGGGGTCACGAGATTTGGGCTATGTTTGGTAAACAAACCTTGGGCCTACGGGCCGACTACTTGACTTTATATATAAAGTAAGTATATTTTGAAAAGGGGTAACTGGGGGTTACGGCCTAGATTATATTATCACCCTATTTGAGGGTCTTGTGTTTGAAATACTTGTTGTATATCTATTAGATGCCATCCACACCAGCACTTTATAGCCCTATAGAGTGCTGATCCCTTCGGGGGCGTCCCACTACCATTTTTCAGGTTGAGGCTAGAGCTTGTTTCCTGTGCTCGTTGCTCGAGAGATCATCTAGGAGAGAAGACTTGGTTCGTGCTCCCTCCATTCTGTTTTTAAACATTAATAAACATGCTCATGAATATTTTACTATAGAGCCTGCGTGCTCATGTTTGCCACGTGTGGCACTTGTTTTCAAACTATGTTTTCCGCTACGTATTCGATTGCTTATTATGTTGTTTATGGATGGCTTACGGGTGAATGATATTCGAGACGCCTTGTATAATATGGATGTGCTTGACTGTGGTTGACTATTCGTATTGTACGGCGGGTTGTTGACGTGTCCGGGCAGGTCCGGGGCGTGACAAACATACTCCATAAGTCTAAATTTTTAAATCAAACCTACTCAAACTAAAGTGAAAAAAATTATTACTAGGTGATTTTGTAGGAGGAGGAGGAGTTCTATCAATGTCTACGTGTTTTCCTGTGGTCTTCTAGCCTTAGAAGTAGTCATGTCCGCCATGGGCATCTACAACGTCCTCCTTTTAGATTCTAATCATAGACAACTAAAAGACTGAGTCATTCGATTACTTTCGCGGCACTCTAAAAGAAGTCAGACAGAAACCCCTGACAAGACGAAACTAGTCGACGCACCAAAAGAACTCCCCACACCGAGAGAGACTAACCACCTAGGAGCATAAGTACTCGAGAAAGAACTGTGATATAACAAAATCAACACAATCGGAGGAGAAGAACAATCCAAATGGATCATACATCTACCAAGAATCTCTTAGCAATGATGTCACCATCAGATAGTTTGGATCACTGCACCACTGGATCAGACTACCAAGAAAATTAATTCAAATGCATCACACCACACCGGAAATTCAAACTACAATTTAAGACCTTCAACTCCCTTTGTATTATAATGTTAAAGGCCAGTTTGCTTTGTCGAGCTCAATATTTCTATTCTCTAAAATTTGGTTTTAAAAAACATGCATGGGGGAATTATTTAATCTGTCTATTCCTATAAAATCTAACGACCGTCTCCCCTCTTTTTAGGGGTTGAGATTTTCTGCCACCCTTATCAATATGGGTTGGAGCGGTAGATTATTATGATTTTATGTGTTCTAATTCCTGGAATTGCAACTACATCAAAGGAGATAACGTTGGCGGATGAATGGATTGCGGCTGAGAGTTTGTATTGGTGTTGGATTTTGAAGCCTTGGTCGGCCGCTCCGGCGGTGGTGGAGTTGGTATTCACCCATATTGCAAGAGCTCGTTATCCTCCAGAACCACCTCCATACTAGGAAGAGTTTTGGAGAAAGATTTTGTTTCAATATTATTTTCTCTTTAGTAGTACTTGTTTTTATTTTAGTCCGAGTAGATTTGGCTTGAATGTTTAGATTTTTGGAGTTCTTTTGATAGGTAGAGTTTGAGATCTGTTCATTTTAGGCTTAAATTTGCACGTTTCAGGTTTAGGCTTAAGCTCTTTAGAGTTTGGAGTACGTATTTCATTATTTAGGACAGGAATTAGAGAAATCAGAGTGAAAACTCACAGAAGTCACCGATCGGATTTCGGGAAAAGCAGGCGGCAGACCCACCAGGGCGGCACGGCGCAGGAATCAGTCAACACTCCTTCGGAACATCGGATTTCTTCAAGTCTTAGGCAAATCGGCAGTTCGGCGGATGGAATTGGTCGTTCACTTGTCGGAGCCGTATGCCCCTAAATCAGACCTTCAGACTCCACAACCTTGATAATTAATTAATTCTTATTATTAGTAGTAAATAATACTCCCTCAGTCCCAAATTGTAAGATACATTTACTATTCACTTGGTCAACATAAATCACTTCTAAACTTTTATTTTATATATCAAAAGTTTATGAAGTTTGAATTATTTTTTGCAGGTTTTGTAGCGGATTTAATGTAGTTTTTGAATATGTAAATTTTATTTTCTAGAACTAATTTGGGTGTTGACAGGGATCAATTTGCTTTATCGTCAGTCAAACATCGTAAACCGAAATGTATCTTACAAATTGGGACGGAGGGAGTAGGTAATACTAATAGGTTTTTTTATTTTTTGGGGGGCCCCCTTGGAATGTGAGGCCCAAGGCACTTGCCTTGCCCAACTCCCCCAAAAGCCGCCTCTGGTTGTACGTTTTTACCTAGTAGCTGGTACTCCTTCGTTCGTACTTCGTACATAACACCAATGTATTCCTCGGATAATCGTATCCCCAATCCGACCCGAACAGTACCTAATACAGTAATGATAATACGTAGTATATTTATATTTGTTCTGTACTGCGTATTAATTCATATTCATATGAAGTATTTCAAAATAGTGTTTTAATTTAATATTGTATATTAATATAGGATATTATGATCACTATCAATCCATGTTGCAAGTATAAGACCAACGAATGATCCAGCCAAATGACTGGATCATGGTTTAGCCCGGTGTACGTTGATGGGTCAACCCTATCAATGTGGGGAAAATCCAGTCAATATTGATGATTTATTACATTATGACCAAGTCCATGTAAGAATAGGGGAGAAGAAAGATAGAATAGTTGTGTCATCTCATAGTTTGGGTGGCGGGGTGAAGTGTTGAACGAGTTCGTTCCGTCGGGCAACGGACGAAACGTCCGGAAAGAAAGAAATGGCGCACGCCTGATGGCTCAAAGACTCTGAAGGATCAAGGCAGGCCGAAATGTCCAATTGTTGCCGAATTTCGCGAAGATAGATTGATCCGCTGGAATGATGATGAAATTCAAATTACCAAAATAACTCACGATTATAATCAAAATATTCATATATAGTTTTTGTTATTAATATGATCACTTCTGTATGTGATCCCAATGATTACACATGTTTCTTTTAAATAGTTTTTGCTTACATAAAAACTATTCTAGAGTAATGGATATTAAAATTGATTTACGAGTATCATTTATTGCAATTAGATCCAATTTTGTTGTCCTTATAAGGGAGTGTTTGCAACTGCTTCTGCTTAAAAAAAAGCACTTTTGGAGATGTAAGGAAAAAGTGATAAGTAGGAAAAGTTGATAGTGTTTGAGAAAAAAGTGATTTTGAAAAGTAAAAGTTGATAATGTTTGGTAAAATAAGTGCTTTTTGTGTAATAGAAAGGGGAAAAACACTTTTCACACGCAACCCGAGAAAAAGTAAAAATTGGTAGTGTTTGGTAAATAAGTGCTTTTTAAAGCCAAAAGCTGAGAAGTGCTTTTTTTTAAGTGATTGCAAACACTCCCTAAGTAAATAAGTATACAATCTTCACATAATAGCCAATTCTGAAAGTGATTATTTTTATCATTTACGGAGTAGTGGCTTGTTTTCAAATGACAGCTTCTACTTAAATTAAGCATTTAAAAACTAAAAGCATGTATATAGAAGGTAGAAGGGCGTTTTAAACTATTTTTCACTTTGTCTATTACACAAATATCTTATTTTACTAAACACTACCACCTTTAATTTTTTCAGAATCACTTTTTTCTCAAACATTACCAATTTTTACTATCAAGGGAGTGTTTACGATTGCTCACGTATAAAAATTGTGTCTTGATGACATGTATTTTTAAAGACCATGTTCCGTATCTAAAAAATTATAAACACGAATAGAGGTGAGGGTATAACGAGTACATTAGAAGTGTTGGTGTAACTTGATTGCTTTATGAGGCGGTACTCTTGCATAGAAGTATTGTATGGAGTAACCCACGGTACGGTGCACAGTTCAATTTATTCCTATCTACGGCGTTAACGTGGTTTACGGAGTAACTCACGGTGCACAGTTTCATATTGATCGAAGGTGATTGATTTTCCATACAACTTGTAATCGGGGAGCTTAACAGGCATCTACCAGTACTATCTTCTCGGGTGGTCCAAGTAGGTCAAGCTTCTTATAGAGCACTACAAGATCGGAGTATCGGACTAAGATGCACGACGGAGAAGCGCCGGAATTTGCAGCTTCTTCGGTGGTCCAAATGGGTCAAGCGCCTCTTATAGAGCACTCCAAGGCTGAGATACAAGGCGACGAGGTGACGGAATTTGCCGCGGCTCATGCTAGAATATTTGATGTAGGAGCTCGATCAATATCAACGAGATCCGGTAAAAAAAAAATAGCAGCTGATAATTTTTTTTGCTTAATTTCTAAGACTCTCAATACAAGCAATTATTTCTTGGGAACTTAAGATGTGGATTGATCGGTGTGTACTTAAATTGAATTCAAATATGGAATCAAATTAACGATTTCTGTTTTTATCGCTTTGATGCATTCGATTTTCTTAGCATGATGTTCTTCAATTTGTCAAATTGTTTATGCCTTTTTAAATTTTGGTTTACATATGTATTTTTTGGAGTTCTGTGTTTACGTGTTTTATTTTGGGGTAATTTGAGGAGCATAATGTATTTTTGAAAACTAAGAACATCTTATACTTTTCCATTACATTCATGCTTTTATTAACTCTTTACTAGATAAATGTATAATGGCCCATTATAAATACGAAGTATAAATATACATATTTGTACTCCCCATATGTACCTATTTTACTACATTTGTCTATGCTCCTCTTCATCGTCCTGCACTTTCCCACTTGATCACTTATGTACGTCCGTTCAAACTTACATTTAATTACTTTTAGTTTTGTTGTCTTTGCATCGGATAACAACATGTGTTGTGGATGAGATTAACAAAATATCTTTGGCCGCGTGTTTTGTTTTGGTGCCCAGAGTAATAAAAAGCATACTACACAACAGGTAATTTGATTCTTGTCTAAAGAGAATAAGAGATCGTGTGGTCAAATTAATAGTGTTTAACAAGCTTAAGAGAAGCAATGTGCTATTTTAACAATTCTTTCTGTTGCTGCACGTTTTACTTGTGCATAATTCGATTTGGACAAAATTTTCTTTCTTATTTTTAGAATGAACAAAAATTTTCTTTTTAAGATACTACGTATTAGCTAATACTCTGCAAACAAACCTTAATGAACTATATATAGAGCCCGTTTGGTGGCACAAAAATCGGCTGTTTTGGCTGAAATTTATGATGTTCTGGTTGAAGTACCTGCATTGGCTGATTCTGCTTATTTAAGAAAAAATATTTTTAAAATATATTTTATTAATAAAATAAAGAAAAAATTATATGCAATAATAGCTAAAATGGTCATCTACAGTAACTTTAGCCGATACAGCCAGAAAAGTAACTCTAACCTTACTTTTTCTACTTATTAAACAATTCAGCGCGCGAAAGTAAAAGTTACGTGTTTGGTGAAAAAG